TGTGTGTGGAAAGGGGGGGGGGCTTCAGATCTGTTTTCCCTCTGATTGGCATTAGCTAGGTGTTTTATAGTTATAGTGTTATGCAGTGGCGTAAAAAAAACAACAACTTGAAAATGTGATCACCAAATTATCGTGTTAGTCTAAAGCCTTGCATTACCTACTCATGCAGCATACCTGTACCAATTTAAATTCTGCATAATCTGACATATTAATAATTCATCTATGTTATGAGACGCTCAGAATTGACCTACAAAAATCAGGCTTGGCAAAAATTGTTCGAAATCAAAGAAACGTAAAATTGTCTTCGCGCGAGTATATAGAGGAGCATCAATGTTGATATAAAGTACATACATTACGTATCCAATGAATGGAGGATTTTGTATTGTAATAAACAATATTCTATTTTGATGTTTGGTCACAATAGTTTCAAACAAAACGGAAAACACAACAATCCCAAATATCATGGAAAACTTTGACGTAACATTAAATGAGCTCATTATCATTTTGCTTCAGAGCCATTAGTTTTGTGTAGTGCACGAACCCTTTGGGCATCGAATCTATAACATTTTGGACATAATTTCATCCCAAATGTTACAGCGAGTTGCAAACGAATGGTCTGGGATGGGAGCAAAGTCGCGCTCCTTCAACTGCTGTTTCATACATGGTACTTCACTCTTCACATACCTGTAGAATTCACATCGGTTCTATTAAAAATTTACTGGTGACCACTCCGACGTTGATTTGATTTGGTTTTCCAAGAATTATCTAGTGGCATTGGCCCCGAGAGAAAGTGATTTTCTATGCATGGAGATGTCTACTTGAATTACACCATGACGAAAGTCAGGGTACGACATGACGTCGTTCCAGCACTTGCCCGATGTCCTCCACTAAACCAAGCCATCCGGTGATTTTCACGAGGGTGGTTCTGTTCCTTCCACCCCTGACCACCAAGAACCATGGCAGTTTCGTGACCTCTGTTTCTCACTGACAGAGGATTATGTCCAAAATCTGACTGACGCGGTCCATATTATATATGCAAAAATGGTTCCGTGCTCAACTCGAAGCCATTAGCCCTTAAGCAAAAACAAAATACTAATGAGCACATGTTATGTTAAGTACAGTTTTGTGTGGTACCGGTATTTGTAACTGATTTGTTCTCCAACCTGTTCAAAAATATAATAAGGAAATGCTATTCATTGCAGAGACAATAATATTCTCTTTTGATTTTATATTCAATACATGTCCATCCCACCAATGTTGATGCACTTCAATATTCGAGCGAACACACTTTTGCGTTTCTCTGATTTCGATCAATTTAGCCTGGGTTTTTTTAGGTCAATTTTGAATGACCATATCTAGGGTGTCTCTTAACATAGATGAAGCATTAATGTGTCAGATGATGCAGAATTTGTTCAGCTTTAAATTGGTATGCTGCATGAGCGGGTAGTGCTAGGCTGTAACACGACGATTGGGTGATTACATTTTCAAGTCTTTTTAGGACGCCACTATATTATTCTATACCAGTTTCCACGAAAACTAGATCTCTGCTGGGGTGAATTGTGAAACAATACTCTTGGGGTATTATATGTATTCATATTTTATTCCTGTAATTGTTTTTTGCAAAAAGTATAAGCTACGTTAAATTGTCCAGTTGTTCGATTTGAAATGCTAAAAGTACATTTTTGTCACGAAAGGTCACTGTCACTCATTAACAATAATGACACATGAGGAAAACTATTGTGTGACTTTCAGATTGAGTTCGAATATCCTTTCGTCACCGTTCCCAACGCTGCTGTGTTCACCACTGGCTTGTCCTGGATCGTCGGAGGCGGATATGACGTCAACATCCTGGAGGTGACATCGGCTGGTCTGAGAGTGGAGGTCGCCGCCACGAAAATATTTGCTCCCGGCATGGTGGACTTCAACTTCATCGCTTGCGACAAGGAGATCGAGTTTCCTCATAGTTACTTGGACAACGAGCATAATATGTAAAGGCTTTTTTAAAAAGGAGAAATATAGCCAAAGTAAAATTGCAGTCAAGCACCACGATCACCAGCATTTCAATTTAAAATAAATGAATAAACTTAGATCTACCCCTTCTGAATTTGAAAAATGTTCATTTTTTCTATTTAATCAACTGGTTTGAATTCGAGTTTGAATTATACATTTTATTTGGTACATCCTGGACCATTTTTCTGCCTGATACATGTATTTAGTTCGGTTTTCAAAGTGCACAGCCCTTGGGACGGGTCATTTTGTATCAAAATCAAAGGGAATTACCTTCCAGAAAAAAAAACAGAAACTGAAGTGATGCTAACGTCTGCTTCTTGTCTTGTATGCCTTTTGTATACCAAGCTAGTCAAATTGTATTATTATATTTCAAATTTCAAATCAACTATTATCAGTGATTCGTTTGTCAACGATAGCTATACCGTATCTGTTTAATGGTGTCTAAAAAACAACAACAAAGGACCCACTTAAACGACAATAACTCAGTCATCTTTGAACCAATTCCAATAATACTTCACAGAAATAAAATTCAACCAGAGGAATGTTACGCTTACTAATGTGGAGGAAAAAAAACAATCCCCATGTTCGAGAAATATCAAGTTTTTAAAATTTCAACCAAAATTGAGTGAAACGAAAAACTGCAACTTCTTTAAAATCAACATATATTGATTGTTCTATTTCAAGTACAGTCAAACCTGTGTAAGACGGCCACCCATTGTCAAGGAGAAAAGTGGCCGTATAAGACAGGTGGCCGTCTTAGGCAGGACTGATCAAGATAAAGAAAACAAACCATTCCCATCTGAAGTCCCAATCGAAAGTAGCTGCATTGTTGTTGTTTTTGTTGTTTTTGTTGTTGCTGGTTTGTATTTTGTTTGTTATTTTTACTTTGTTGCTGATTTTACACAAGGGTGACAATAAAACGAAATGGATCAGACGAGGAAGACCGAGTGCCATGTTAAAACAAACACATGGGTCGCCACCACTCGGAGAACGAGCGACACTTCAGTTGCAAGTTCGTGTTGACGTCCTTTGTTACAGACTGGGTAAACAGTGACCACTCATCTCACTTACGATTTGTGTATGAAGTCTGGGCGGGGCTTACGGGTATAAGGGATCACACGTTTACCTCACCAGCAGCTGAAAATCGCTACCAATTGGTCAACAGTGGGAGGGGCCTATGCAACATGATCGTTTAGAGGGACTACCTAACAACAACGACAGGTGATTGGATTATGACGGCTCGCCCACAACGCCAAGGGCCAAAGCACAATTTATGACAAAACGTAATGGAGTCTCTAAGGTGGCCGTCTAAGACAGGTGTTTTTGCTCAGTGCAATAGGGGTTGTGTGTTAAAATTTGGTGGCCGCGGTCGCGTTGGACAGGTGCCCGTCTTACACAGTTAAATTATATAGAAAAAACGCAAGGGGGGGAATGGAAAGTGGCCTTTTGTACAGGTGGCCGTCTTATAGAGGTGGCCGTCAGGGCAGGTTCGACTGTAGTCACGATTTGTGTGTTGAAGAACAAATAAATACAACATTGATATTGCTTAAATAAACTCAAGAAAGGTTTTAGCTATTTAAACATCTACTTGTAGACCATCTCTCCATACAACAAGCTCCAATACGTCACTTGAAATGTTTAATGACTCTGTGGCATGTTTCTGTGTTCATTCTTTGGACTCTCCGTTCATCATTGAGTTTTAACTGTTCGATTGTTTGTGGAATGTTTCTCTGGGCTCTGTCAAAAAAACAAAAACAAAAAACAACCTCAAACAAACAAAAACTACGAAACCCAAAGGTAATAGATCTAGATTCTAATTGAAGAAGCTCAAGTTGGAAGTAATGTGCTAACTATTCTGTGGTAACTATTCTGGGGTAAACTTTTGTTTCTCCTAATCCTAACGCGTTTTCCAAACGTTTCTTGCAATCATAATAAGGCCACTCTTGTTGTGCGGGGTGTGGCCTCATCCCACTTGAACCAGGCCTGTACAGCATAACACATTCTCCTCCCTCTACTTCTCCAAAACTTTCTCGGTGTGGTTAGGTTTCCACCTGAGGTGACTGTTGTGGTTTTACTATCCTTGTCCTGAAACCCGTACGAGCCGATCACGACCCTTTAGTTGAACGCTTATAAGAAGTAATATTTTGCGTTTTACCAAATTTTATTTGAAATTTTAAAGACTTAATATTTCTCGAATTCACAGATTGATTTTTTTTTCATATATTTACAAACTTGACGTCCACCTGGTTGAATAATAATATTATTATTATTATTTACTAGTAGATCTAGTTCTAAGTTGTGTTGAGATTAGTGCAGAGATGTCCGAGTTATTGCGCTTTAAGTGGGTCCTCCATTTTAGACGCACTGTATGTTACACCAAGCATCTAATCTAATTCCCATCTGCCTGTCTGTCTGTCTGTCTGTCTGTCTGCCTGTCTGTCTGTCTGCTTGTCTGTCTGCCTGTCTGTCCTTCCATCTGCCCGTATGTCTATCTCACTGTACAAACACAGACCTGGCCGGTACACAATGTATAATTAGCAGTATGAGCACGGTAAAAACCTGTACAAACACACGTACACAAAAGTGCATCTATTCTCAACATAGTCTATGACTATCACTATACTGACCATCAAAAGAAAGGTACCACTTTTTGATTGTGTGAAAAAATCTATAGACTTTTGGGTATTTATTTAGATCTACGCTTTTCCTTCAACGTGAGTAATTGGCTACTACGTGTAATAGTCGTAGCCTACTTTAAAAAGTAGATCTATGTCATATTACGTAAGTATTGTAAGTTATTACATATTTAAAAGAAAACAACAACGTTATGTTTAAATTAAATAAAGTATTCACAGCACCCACGTAAAAAATAAAAAAATAAAATAATTGGCATTTTTGCCTCGACCACGTGGCGGATTATTTTTTTTCGATCTTTATAATTTCTTTATAAACTTTATTGTATCAAAATCCGCAATAACGTTTGATCGTTGTCACCCAAGAAAGATTATACATGTAGCAGGTTTAACTAAGAAGGAAAGATTAGTAGATTACCCTATCAGACATGGTATTGGAAACCAACTGAAAAGAGAAAGAGGGGAAGACCAACTGGAAACTATAGAGGCACAAAAAGAGATGAGGCAATACCCAGGGCCTAGATGTGCCGAAATTGGAGGACGTGTCCAGGAACAAACAAGCGTGGCGTCGACTGCCCTCCGCCTCATAACAGTCGTAACGTATCTGACGGTAGGCTACAGGGAGAGAGTAGATCTAAGTAAGTAAAGTTAACGAAAATAAACATCAGAATCAGAGAAATCGAGCCAAAGGCATGCCCCGTCCCTTTCTGATGTTGCCAAGACGCTTTGGCTTAACGTCAACTGAAAAACTGAAAGGGGGTG